AGAAGGGACCAGGGGGAGAGGAGGGAGATGAACCTGAAGTGAGCATGCATATGAGAGAGGAATTAAAAAAGAAAAAAAAAATCACCATGGAGTTTTCTTTCTCTTTGCTTTCACGTTCTTTCATTTTTGTTTTGATTTCTCTGTTAATGAACACACTATGTAGCCCAGGTTGGCCTTGAACTGACTGAGATCTCCCTGCTTCGGCCTCCCTGACTGTTGGGTTAGAGGTGTGTGCTATTGCTGATTGCCTCAGGGTTTTCTTTTCCCAACTAAATTGCGTCAAAGTTTGCTGTGTGGGAAATAATTGTATAGTGTTTTCTTCTGTAGCCCAGGCTGTACCCCAGCTTCTAGCAATGTTTACAGCTTCCTGAATGCTGAGATTCCAGACTGTGTTAAATGCCTGTGTTACTGAAAACTTCATAACTAACTTTTCACTAGTTATCACTTTTCATTAAATAAAGTGGTCTTTGAGCAAAATTTGAAGTGTATCTTACTACTTTGCATTGCAAGACATCAACACTTTAAAAATACAGGGGGTAGGCTGGATGGGGTTGGGACACACCTTTAATCCCAGACCTGGGAAGGCACAGGAAGGTGGATCTATATGAGTCCAGGGCCCAACTAATCTACAGAGTGAGTGCCAGGACAGGCTCCAAGCTAAACAGAGAAACCCTGCCATGAAAACAAACAAACAAACAACAACAAGAATTCTGAATTTTGAAGTCTGAATCTCAAAGATTGCATTCTGTGGGGCAGGAGAGAAGGCTCAGTGAGTCAGCAAAAGTCTTGCTTTGCCACTGAAGGGCAGGACAGTTTGTAGCTCCCATAGACTGGCTCACAACAATTTATTTGGAACCCCAGTCCCTGTGTATCTGAGTCCATGATCTGCTCTCCTGGGGCCTTAAGCATGCCCATGTTGTACATACATGTGTACTGGTAAAAACAAAATACAAAAGCTTATGTACACAACAAAAGAACAGTTGTCTTGTTGACCTTGAAGCTTGTAATTTGGTTCCTAGCATCTTCATCAGGAATGCCACAAATGTCTGTATGTTTAAGGTCAGTGAATCTGAAAGCCTTTTCTGTGCTGTGGACCTCCACACACATGAGGCAGACACACAAAAACACAGACAGAAAGGGAAATGAACCAGTGATAAAAAGTGACTAGAGCAGGGTGTGGTAGCTCATGTTTTTAATGCCAGGATTTGTGCTTGAGCAACCTACTCTGCAAGTCAGCCTGGTCTTCAATCCCAAGGTCAGACTGAAAAGATTTAAACCACACCATTAATCCCAGTATTTGGGGGGGCAGAGGCAAGAGGATCTGTGAGTTTGAGGATAACTTGGTTTAGAAAGGGAGTTCTGGTATAGCCAGGGCTAGGTAAAGACATTCTGTCTCAAATCTTTCCCTCTATCTCCCTTTCTCCATCTGTCTTTCTTTCTTTGAGATCGTGGTCAAGCTATGGAGTTCTTGTTGGCCTGGTACTCAGAAATCTCTCTGTCCTCTCTCTCTCTCTCTCTCTCTCTCTCTCTCTCTCTCTCTCTCTCTCTCTCTCTCTCTCTCTCTCTCTCTCTCCCTCCTGAGTGTGAGTGCTGGGGAATGCTGTGCTTGGAATGTTTTGGCCACTTATTCCTGGTTGACCTCATTGTCACTCTGTAGCCAGCCGGCCCTCAAACTTGCAAATCTCCTGCCTCAGCTTCCCAAATACCTAGAGTTACAGGCCTATGTCTCCAGCATTTTCTCTTATGCAGCCTCTGATAGCATTAAGAGTGTTTGGTTATTTCTGTTTCTTGAAAATGTAAGAATGCGGGAAGTTTTATCTGTTAATTTGTGGGGCTTTGTTCTTGTTATATTTTTGTGTTTGTTTGTTTTTCATTTTGAGGCATGGTCTTCTGTAGCATGAGCAGGCTTTGGAGCTTCTTTGTAATCAAGCCTGGCCTATGAGTCCTGATCTGCTTTCTGCCACAGACCAGGCAAATGGTCTTGTTGCACTAAGTAGACCCTTTTCATGGGCCTTTTTTTTTTTTCTGTATAATGGCCCTCCCTCTTTTAGGGCTTATTTTGCCCAGTAGGCTAGCCCAAACTCACAGAGATCCATCCACCTGCCTCTCCCTCCAAGGTGCTAGGATTTAAGGCATGGGCCACCAAGCATGATTTGAATACCTTCTTAAATGTTTCAAAGTTACATTAATTCACGGGAAATCTCCTAAAATGGGCATCATTGGGAACAATTCCTTCTTAGTGCCTGGAGGCCATATTTGTTTGAAGAGGATGTGAAAAGGATTCCTTTGTGTTTGAGGTCCCTACAAAAGCAGCACTGAGTGTATCTGCTCAGAGATGAAAGCCTCCTCACATGTACCAAGCCCCATAGGGTGACGCTATAGAGTGGGCGGGGCCATTGAGTGGGAGGGTCTGCTGGAGTGAGGGAACAGTGAGGAGGAGCTGGGAGGGGCCTGGAAGGAAAGGATATTTAAGGCCAGGTCCTTGGAGTGGATTTCAAACCTCAGCAGTGATCTGGTGAAGACAGGAGAGCCCGCTGACAGCCTGGGTAAGTCGGCCTGTAAGGCTTCTGGGTAGATGGTGGTGGGGGCAGCTGTACCAGTTTGTTCTCCCAACAGCAATGAATGAGTGATCCTTTCCCCACACCATCACCAGCCTGAATTCTTGTTTCTATTTTTTTCAGCGTTTCTGAGTAAGTTAAAAATCTCAAAGTAATTGTAATTTACATTATTTGATGGTTGTAGATGATGAAGGAGTTTTTACTAGTTTGCTTTTAGAGGTCAGGTTACCCTACATAGTCCTGGGTGTCCAGGAGTTCACATAAGAAGGCAAGGTCAAATTTCTCTTAGTATGTATGTATGTATGTATGTATGTATGTATGTATGTATGTATTTATTCTGAGACTGGTTTTGGTAGCTCTCCTGGAACTAGCTCTTTTAGACCAGGCTGGCCTGGAACTCACAGAGATCCAACTGCCTCTGCATCCCAAGTGCTGGCACTAGTGGCATTCACCACCACTGCCTGGCTTCTTAGTATGCATTTTCAAACTAACCTGTCAATCAGTAAAATGATATAAAGCATGATGAATTCCTGGAGGGTCTGGTGTGCCACTCTTTTAATTCCAGTACTTAGGAATCTGAAGCAAGTTAATCTCTGTGAGTTGTGAGGCCAGCCTTGTCAATATACATAGTTCTAGAGAACAAGAATGATGGAATTATCTGGACAGTGGTGCTGCCCAACCTTAAAGCCCTGTATTGGGGAAGCAAAGGCAGGAGATCTCCCTGAGATTGAGGCCAGCCTGCTCTACAGAATGAGTGCCAGGACAGAAACTCCTGTGTTGAAAAGGTAAAAATGGTAATAATAACAATAATTATAATAAAACCAAAGAGATTAGGCCTTTACAAGGTGGGAAAGAAACCTGAGTTGCACCAAAGTGTGTGTCAGGATAAAGGTTTTTTGGTTTTCTGGTTGGGAGAAGACAAAGGATGGGAGGAGTTCCCAGTCCACATTCTTAGTAGAAGTCAAATAGACAATGGGTCCAGGAAAAGTGCAGCAACCTAGTTGTCTTCAGGTGAGTTGGGGCCCTAAATGAAGTGTGGATGGGGAGTGTGAGGAGAGGGTCTCTTGGTGGAAGAAAGAGGCCATAGGGGAGGAAGATGCTTGGGCAGAACTCTGGGCCTGCTATGTCTGTTTAGAGCATGCGGTCTACTCTAGGCCTTCTACATAGGGGTTGGGTCAAGTGTAATCTCAGGACTTTTTTTTTTTACAAATGTATCCTTTCAATATGAGTAGGAAGGCCAGACAATTGCATGGTTTAGGGTAGAGTGGGACAAAAGAGCTTGTGAGTCCCCAAGGTGTGTGCCCACCTAATGTGCAATTGCTCACTCTGTCCTTCAAAGCGAGAGGCCAGAGCCCACCATTGTACAGGAAGCCAGGAGAAACGATGGATGTCTTGACTTTTGAATCTAGGGACTGTTGGTCTTCTCTTGTCTATTTTCCTTTAATACCAAGCACTCCATTGCAGGAGGGATTCCCGGTGGTATTCCCCATTACTTTGGGGACCAGAGGGAGGCTCTCTATAGCCCAGATAGATAGGGCAGAGTGTTGGTAACATGGAAGAAAAGAAGTCACCCAGGGTTGTCTAAGGCACAGAAGGTTCATCCCCATCAAGAAGGGGGAACCATGGTGCACATGTGTACCACACTTTCCATCCCAACACACAGGAAAAGTCACTGAGGGGTAAGCATGCCTGGTTTCTATAGTGAGATCCATACTGAGCGATATAGAGGGACCCTGTCTCTGTTTAAAATAAGAAAGAAAGAGAATGAATGAATGAATATGGGTTGAAGGGACTGGGAAGAAAAGAGGAGAACCTCTGTCCAGCAAGCTCGGTACAGGTGCATTTCTTGAGAAGTTATTGACCCCTGAAAGACAAATATGTTTGGTTCTGGAAGTTTATGTGGTCAGAAGACCCAAGAAGATCCTTCAGGTCTGTGTTAGTTTTCAGCCTTTACCCAAATTATTACTGAGCATACCTTCTCAATAAACACATTCGGTACTGGGTCAGATTTCCATGAGGGTGGTGGACTGTAGACTGAATGAGGCTACAGGGTATGGTCTGCTAATGTTTGACACTAAAAAGTACAGGGCCAGTGTGGGTCCTAGGAGGATATCAATTTAAGGTCCTGTCCTTGGAGTACAGCTTCATTAGCAGTGGGAACCTGGGTTAGTGATAAGGTAGGTGGACACAGGATTCCGTCCCTATTGAACTGAGGAATGAGAGAGCAGGGGGACCTTGTGGGTTTTCTTGATTAAGATTGTGTAGTCTGACTCAGGTAGAGGCATTCATTCTCCAGCCAAGCTGATGATAGGAGGAGTGTGAGGCTTGGTGAAGAGCTAGTGTGCACATCTGTCCTTTGAGCCTGAACTTGAGATCCTGTGCAGCAGATGATGGCCGTGACTGGGTACTAACAATCACCTACTTCTATACAGGTATTCAAAAATGGCAGAAGGAAACAACAAAGAGGAGGTCATCCCCACCCACAGCGTTCACTGCCACCAGGGACAGGGACGGATGAGTGTCAGCCATGAGCCCATCACCATATCTGATTCCTCTGATGAGGAAGGGATTCCAGTGCTGGTTACCCAAGCTACTGAGCAGCATGAAGAAGACAAACCTCAGACATCCCGATCCTATCTCATCAAACCAAGTGTTCAGAAGCAAGATCTGAACCGATTGGGAGAAGACAGGCCTGGAAAGTCTAGAACAGACAATGCAGAAGACACCAAAAGCTATTTTCCCTTTTCTAACAACTCACTGTTTGGTTCTGGGGCACAGGAGGAACCTCAGGATGAGTATGGTGATTCTCTGGACCTTGAGAGTGACGAAAAAGAATTCAAACCTGGGCCAAGCAGTCAGCACACAGCAAACACCATTGTCAACCACAACTTGGAACAGGAAGGCATTACACAGGAAGACAGTGGCCTTCTTTTCCCAGAGGCTGAGCCTTTGGAAGCTCAGACCCCACCCTCTGAAGACTCAGGGACAGGTCTCTCATCAAACCCTGGAGAGCCAGCTATTTCAGTAGCTGACCAGGTGATGGAGGAAGGGCCCTGGCTTGAGCATCCATCCTTCCTGGCTCAGCATCCACAGCCTCAGGAGAAAACAAAACAGGCTGTGCCCCAGGAGCAGCATTCTGAAGCAGAAATGGGCACTGCCATCTTGAGCCATGATTTTCCAGAGCCTGCTTTTCGAAGCTCAGAGACCCTGCAGGAGGGGATTCCAGGCCCTGCTTCCCCTCAGCTGGCCCTTCCTCTGGAAGAAGTTGAGGAACTTGGGCCATCTTCCTCCCTGCCAGGATCTCAGGAGGCCAATTTGGAAACCATATGGGGACAAGGAGCTGTGGCAATAGATCAAGAACTGGTTACACTGTTAGTGAAAGAAACAGAGGCAAGATTTCCAGATGTGGCAGATGGATATGTCAAAGAGCTTATTCATTTGAAGAACTACTATGATTTGAATGTACTTTGTAATTTTCTTCTGGAAAACCCAGATTATCCAAAGAGAGAAGACCGGACCATTCTCCACCCCAGCAGCAGCCTGCTTGCCAGCCAGGATGATGAGGAGTTGTCTAACATAGACTTTTTTGACTATTCCAAACTGACTGCACTTGACAAGCGATGCTTCCTCCAAGCTGCTGAGCTCTTGATGGCTGAATTCAAGATGCTCAACAACAAAGACATCAGGTGGGCCCTACAGGAGTTCAAAGGACACTATGCGATCACCCGGAAGGCCTTTTCTGATGCTTTTAAAAAATGGCAGGAGCTGTCACCTGAAGCCAGTGTAGAACAGACAAAGGGGAAAGAAATGATCCAGGATTCTTTCATAGATTTCAAATTTGAACAAGGTGAAATAAAAATAGAAAAGAGGATGTTCCTTTTGGAAAAGAAGCATCTACAGTTTAGACACTGTAGATCCTATGAGCTGAGCGACCTCCTTCCAGCTGTGCGGCTTGAACGGGAATTCTATGAGCAGAAAATCAAAGAGATGGCAGAGCATGAAGACTATTTGCTAGCCCGGAAGATGAATGGAGAACAATATGAACAGGACGGACAGCTGATTGAGTGTGGGTGCTGCTATGGGGAGTTTCCATTTGAGGAGCTGACACACTGTTCTGATGCTCACCTGTTCTGCAAGGAATGCCTCATCAGATATGCCCAAGAGGCGGTGTTCGGGTCTGGAAAGTCAGATCTAAGCTGCATGGAAGGCAGCTGCACAAGTTCCTTCCCCACCAGCGAACTGGAGAGGGTGATTCCCCAGGCCGTTCTGTACAAATACTATGAACGCAGAGCTGAAGAAGAAGTCGCTGCAGCCTGTGGTGAGGAGCTTGTCCGCTGCCCCTCGTGCAGCTACCCTGCTCTGCTGGACGCTGATGTGGAGAGGTTCAGCTGCCCCAATCCTCACTGCAGCAAGGAGACCTGTAGGAAGTGTCAGGGACTCTGGAAAGAGCACACTGGCCTCACGTGTGAAGAGCTGGCTGAAAAGGATGAGGTCAAGTACCGGACATCTATAGAGGAAAAAATGACTGCTGCTCGCGTTCGAAAATGCCCCCAGTGTGGGACCGGCCTCGTCAAATCCGAAGGCTGCAACCGTATGTCTTGCCGCTGCGGTGCCCAGATGTGCTACCTCTGTCGGCTTCCTATCGATGGCTATGAACACTTCTGCCAGCATCCTCGCTGTCCTGGATACCCTTGCCAGCAGTGTTTCAGGTGCTCCCTGTGGACCGACCCCACTGAAGATGATGAAAAGCTGATTGAGGAAATCCAAAAGAAGGCTGAAGAGGACCAGAAAAGGAAGCATGCAGGGAACACACGCAAACCCATCGGGCCCCCACTAGAGAAGCCAGCTAAGAAAGTTCGGCATATGGGAGCCCTGCCACGGCCTGTACCATGGCACCTGCACCGACAGATGCCAGCTTTCCGCATTGTGCATGCACCTTTCCCGCAACAACCTGTGTGGCCTGCGTTTCACAACTTCCCCATCAACTTCCCAGCACCGTACTTTCCACCTCTGCCCATCGTGCATGTCAACTATGACTTTGGCCTCGTGCATGGGGCCCTGGAGCACAACCTGCACATGCGATTTGTCCCGCAGCCGTGGCATCGCTTCTGACGCCCAAAGCCCTCATCCAGCCACACTGAGGCTGCAGGAGGACCCAGGTCACCTTTTGTGTGTGGAGTCTTTGCTTCCCTCTTGAGGGTGGGCCCGTGTCCTCCTCCACTTTCCTTTGCAAGCACCACTGATCCTTCAGATCTGACACGCTTGGGTGCTGACTGACTGTCACAGGCAGTGTGAGGACAGCTCCTGGATTGTTCCATCTTAGCAGCCAGTACAAGGGCCCAGGCCAGGAAGTGCAGGCTCATTAGTCATTTGCCACATTCCCTCCCCAGCAGACACTTGTAATCCAAGGGAAGTTGCCTCTAGTGCCTAGCATCCCCAGGCCAGGCTAAGACCTGCTCAGGTTCATGAGGCTCTGAGACTCATCTGTGGTGCAAGTTCTGTTATCAGTGTAGTTGCTCCTGTTTGAACAGTTTTACCTGACTTTTTTTTTTGGGGGGGGGCTACACAAGTTTGTCCCCTTCCTTGGAAAATCAGGTTGAAATTATTTCCCCAGGGATGCCAGCTAATGAGAGCCAATTATCCTAGCACTTGACATCAAATAAAAGAACTTTTTTTTTTTTCAAAATTGTCACTTATTCCAGGTCTGCTCCTTTTCTGAGGGAGACCACACTTGTCACCAGCCTGGGATGAGCTGCATCTCTAAGGGCACAGGTAGCCTCATGGGGCTGCTGCAGCTGTCACAGCAGCCCTCCTGCCTGCTTACCTGTCCCCTCAGGAGTTAGCAATGAAAGCAGGCAGAGGCTGAGGCCACAGCTCCATCCAGGATGACAACAGCTGCCTCCCTGAAAGTCAGAATGTCCCCTCAGTGCTCACACTGCCTGTGTCCTCTCCTGCCCACACCTGGTCTCTGTCCCTGTAGCCTGCTTGTGGAGAAGGCCCTGCCCCAGATGGTCTTTCAGAAGTCTGTTTCAACTATTGTGGAAAAGACTGTACCCATGTAACTTGAATTTCTTATAAATAAGTGTTTGTGAATGCTAAATAAAAGATTATTTAGTCTAACACGTCTGAAAAGTTCTGGTTGAATCCCTGGTTGACCTCAAAGTCACTCAGTAGCCCAGACTGTCCTTGAAATTCAGTTTCCTTAGCACAGTATCCAAGCAGCCGGGATTGCAGGTCTGTGCCCCTGGTCTGGCTCTCATGTGCCCTCTGCTACTAGCAGGCTGTGGATATTCTCCTGTGAACACCTAACGTCTCATGGAGCAATTTTGTCTGTTATTACGGGTTTTTTTTTTCCTTTGGAGATAGGGTCTCATGTAGTCCAGGCAATATTTTGAGCTACTATATGTAGTTAGTGTAGGCTGGCTTTCTTATTCTGATCCTTTTTCCTCCACCCCCAAGAACAATTAGGCCTATTGCCCCAACATGGACTGTAGAGACAATAAATTGTCCTAACTTCTAGAAACATGTAAAAAATTGGCATTTAAATGTAAGGTTACACACTTGGACAGCATATCAAGATCTAATTTCTAATAAAATTTAGCAGTAGGAAGGCTGGGCCAATATTCTTAGTTTCAGTTTTCCACACAATCCTGTCATTCCATATTCATTTTTGAACAGTGATTTAACATAGTGGGGTCATGGTTAGCCACAACTTTAATGCTGGAACTCAGGAGGGTAAGGCATGGTAGCCTCTTTGCAATTAAGGACTGCCTGGTCAACACAATGAATTCCAGATTAGCCTAGACAAATGGACAAATCCTGCATCCATGGCAAACCTAACAAAAGCAGTTATGATTGAATCAGTAGGGACTCTCAGGGGTGTGACTGCAATCTGAGTGGCAACAAAGGGTGGGTGTGGGTAATAGAGTTGAGGATCAGTGGGGAGGAGGAGCCAGAGAGTCTGGAGATTTTGGGGTCTGAGAACATTTATTCACTGGTCCCTGGATTAGTGGGCAAACACAGAATTGAATCTAAGGAAGAAGAAACAACCTTCTTCCTTGGCCAGTTGAGAACTCAAGGAAGTGTGTGTATGATAGGTTGTGTGTGATGTCTTGAGGTGGGGAAGAGGGAGCTAAGGAGTAACAGGCTTGGTAACACACTGGAGACTGATGATGTTTGGCGATTGAAGTTCACCCTATGCCCAGCTGATGATGGCACAAGGTCCTGTGAAAATGCAGGAGGTGTTTGCAGGGTTACTGTGTAGATGTGAGCACTGAGAAGCAGATGAGGGCAAAGCGTGGGCCATGGGAAGGTCAGTGCTGATGAGACCCCAGGGTACTGTCTACCTGCCATGCTTTTGTGCAATGTTCTGCACCACCGAGAAGGATGTCTACCAAGCGGGCAGCAGATGACAGGGACCTAAGAATGGAGGAACCAGGGACTGTGGGACTTCTCAGGTCTATTTCTGTTTTTATTCCCAGCTTCTCCAGTCTACAAAGGTCTCACAATGGAACCAAATCCCCACGTGATTCCAGGACCTCATGGTCTCCAGGCCTTCCCTATTCTACCTGGTCTAAAATGACTGGAGGTTGTACTTCCAAGTAACCAATCCTCTAGCTCTCCAGTGAACCCAGTCACCCAAGCTTCTGCAATACCTCAGGTCCACCACGTCCATAAGATCTCCCGGTTTCTCGTCTCTCCAAAGTCACAGGTTTCTCAATGATGCAAGAAGGCAGTGGGAAGAATGGGCAGTGTTCACATGGGAACAACACCTGGTTTTGCAAGAACATTTTAATGAGTGCAGGCACCTAATCCAGGAGCATGCATGGCGCAGGCTCAAAGATTTAGCTTGAAGGACTACAGTATGAAATTACATCCTCTCCCATGGCTCCCTATGTCTCCCTAGCCTCCAGTTAGATAGCCAATCTCCCAGCATCTACCTGCACACTCACCGGGCACACACGGGCATTTCTTGTGCCCTTCCATTATTGCAGCCACTTGACTCAGGAACAGGTTGCATAAGGGTGATAAAGGTGTCTAAGGCTGTGTTCTCGTCCCCCTTACCCTCCTAGTACAGAATCATCTGTAATGTAGAAGGATAACTGCACTCCAAAGTGCCCACGTGGCCTCACCATCATAGCTCCCCTTAAAACCTCTGCCTTCTAATGGAAGTTTCCTTAATCTCGGGTTGTATTCCCACTCATCCTGCAGTCATCCACCTTATGTCCTTGAACCTTGGAGTTGTGTGTTTAGGGTACTGAGTAGGATCAGGTTTTAGGCTTCTCATCCAGCATTTTCCAATTTGGGACCTACTGGAGCACCTGGAGTCTCCTGGTCGCCTCTTTCCTTTGTCTCTCCAGATCCGGTTCAAGGACAGACAAGCTAGGGACAGACAAGCTGCATAAAGACCTGAGAAGGACCGGGAACCCTGTCTGTGGTTCTCACGGTGGACCCCCCTCCCCCACTGGCTGTGTTTCTCCTGTGGGATGTGCAGGATGTCCCTGTGCCAGAGCCCTTCCAGAATCAGGATACCCCTCAGGTAACTGCTCCCGCCAGGAATCCTTCCCCATCTCTGATAGGAATCTGAGGAAAACCGCTTCAGGAAGAGCTCAGCTCGGGAGAAGTGGAGAAGCGGCTGCAGCAGAGGACTTTACAGCTTCATGCAGAATGAGGACACTTTCTGGGACAGGTCTGCTCTTCCCAATTGCTGAGCCCCTCTTGCAGCATCAGCCAGCTCAGACACCAGAGGGTGTCAGTGCTCCTCCTGTACTCAGTGCTTGGAATATTGCCCTCGACTCAGAATCCATCCTCTTTGTTTGTGAGGGACCGCCACTTGTGAGCCCTCATCCACAACTCAGCCCCTTGAACAATTCAGTAGACAAGGCATCCATTTTATCTAACATTGATTGTGCCTGCCAGCAATCTCCGAACGAACAGGACATCTAGGGAGCAGAGGCAGCAGAGGAAGGAGGCTGGAAACTGCAATGGAAGGGAGCCCAGGCTCCCCATGCTAAATCTGCCTGCCCCAAAAGAGCGCTCCTTCCCATGGCCTCTGCTTGTGATGGTTGTGTGTTTCAGAGACCGTTCTCAAATCAGCCCCTCCATTTATTTATTTATTGTAACTCGGATTGCATTTTTTCCTTGTGAGAGAGCACATCTATTATCAGCTCTCCTCCACTCGGTGGAAGCATTTTTAGGATAGGATTCCACCTTCTCTATTGGCCAGACCAACCAACATCTCTTATTTGAAGCCCTTAGGTGTGGCCAAACTGGCCAAGCCCAGATGGGGGAGACAGAAGACCACACCAGTCATCAGCTCATGATCATCTGCTTCAGCCCAAGATGCTGACTCAACACAAGCTCCAGAATCCATCACAGCCTCAACTCAGCTCCAGGGTAATGCAAAGAGTGTAAAAAAAAAAAAAAAAAGAAACAATTTGAGAAAAATAATATTGCGTGACTTTTGTTCTGTGTGTATTTGGTCATGAGCCTGACACAGAACATGTGTTCTGTTCAAAAGAGAAAACGTGAAAAGTGATTTTCCCATGTAAACCATGAAAATAACACTCCGGCCCTCAGGCTTGGTGATAGGGATTTGATATGCCATCTCCCTGGTTTCAGAGCTCTTGCAGGGTTATGTCTCCAGCAAGAGTAGAGGCTGACACTGGGCTTCTCATTTGAACTCCAATCTTGAAACATGAATTGCCTGCAGGTACCTCCAACTAAATGTTCTTTACAATTAACAGACAGCTCTTTGAAACATTTCAGTACTTAGGCCTTATTAATTCCTCTACACACCAGGTTGGTTCAGCATGCTTGTATTTTCTTGGAGGCAGAGAAATTAAGATCTGGACTTGAAGACCAAATCTGACTACACAGCAGCTCCAAAGACTGCCTGGGTTACAGGACACCCTGCCTCAAAAGGGAAAAAGAAACATCAAGAAACAATAGACAAAAATCTCAACTTGAGCATATAGGTGTTCAAATGAGAAAAACAAGCATACACTCTTGATGGTAACAAAGGCTCCTTAAGAGTCAGGCCTAGGGACACAGATCTGTTATCCCAGCTACTTGGGTCATGGACCATGAGTGTAAGGACAGCCTGGGCTATA